TCCATCTTGAATTGAATCTAGAGGAGCGTCATGGTTAGTATTAGCTATATCTCAGAGACTATGTTGATAAGGTGAAGAGGGGGGTGAATCTAGGCAGGCGCATCGAGGATCGGATTTCAGAGGATTCGACTTACAAGAGAACAAGCTGCGCCTGGAAAGAAGATCCGTCAAGCTAAATATGTGGAAGAAGCCACACTTCATTAAAATCCCTGTTAGCGAGCCAACTCAACAAGGAAAAAGTGCGAGATAGGCGAAAAGCGGTCGCTTCCCTCGAGTACTCGAGGCAGCAGAGCATATGATAATGATATTCAGGTCGCAAGAGTGAGGAGGGAGCCCCAAAAAATGATCTGACAAAAAGCACACCCCAAAAGAAATAATGATAAAGGAATTAATGATGAAAGAAATAAAGATGAGAATGCAAAAAAAACCAATGCGTATAAAAGGAAGAAATTTCCTCACGAATATCGGATATGTGAGAGTGCGGTGAGGTGGTGTTGAGTCATCTGAGGAACGGAGGCCGGGCACGATGGCTCCGAGGGGAGGCTCCTCACTCTTCGCAACGAAGGCAGAAAAACAGGATAATTAAACTCACCAATAAATGATCCGTTGCTGAATGACCGTAACAAGAATATCCTTCAGGTGCCTGGCATATTCAGTCAGTAAAGTCCGTCCAAACCAACGATCAAAGGCCATCAGCCGTCAGGCCCGTCAACCGCAACCAGTGTCATGAAGCCTCTCGACCCACTTGGGTGAACATTTTCCTCTCCAAAACACACGCGTGATCTCGCACATGCAGTCAACCCTCGACCTCCAACAAGCCGAGAAAATCTTGCATGCGGGATCCAAATCATTCGTCAAGGGTCAACGCCAACACCTTCCAACATTCGCAGCGCCCTCGAACAACCCCAGCGAAAACGACACACGCACTTCAGGCCAAGAGAGGAAGGGGACAAGCCCTGGAATCTGACGAGACCGAGAGGCAAATGGTAAGAAGTCTGAGGCAATCCTTACCTGAAAGGATGGAATGGAATGCACTAAAGCCCGCCTAAGATCACAACAAATTGAGCCTATGAATCGCCGTTAATATTCGGATGCACACCCTCTGAGCAGACAGCTCACAACACGAGTCGGAAGTTCGTACCTCAAGGTGAACGCAGCAACACAAAGTTCAGTAAAACGTTTCGTCGTCGTCAACGATATCGTAAGACCTAATGAAGGACAGGTCAGCCAACCGGTCAAGTCACTTCTTCTCACTCTCGCAAAATCAAGATCCCGTCTTCCCCTTTGCTTTATCCCCGAGGCCAACGTCTGCAAAGTCAAGATTGACTCCTCAAGTCGCTAACAGGCAATAGCAAGAAGAATAGGGACAAGATTGCAACAACAGAATGCAATTGAAATCAGCAGCATACCTTCTACGCCCCGAAAAAAGGATACAACTCCGGGAGATTGGAACGGAATCAAATCAATGGCGACTGGTATCCAGACCCTGAGCTGAAAACTCGAAATCAAGCGTGCCGATGAGAATCTCTCAAGACGCCGTCACGCCCCGTAACAAAGTAGAAGAACTTCCGAAAACTGGGAGAGAGCGTAAATGCAGAGAGTTGCGACGTTCCGAAACAGAGACTGCGAAGTCGTTCGTCTTGATGCTGGTCCCAACTAGTGGTGCGAGAAAAAAGTAATGTCTGAAGAGACGCAAGAAATACGGGTAGGTGCAGAAATGCTTTCCGAAATTACGACAACCTAATGTTCATGTTAGTCTTCCAGGTGCCTTGCTTGTCATGAGTACATCGACTTGTTGGTCCTCCATCACAACGTGCCACGCGGTTCCGATCATCAACTGGCTCTCGCAACTCAATCCATATCTTCAGAGGCAACATATCGCTAAAGAATGCGCAGACTGGTTGTCTCAGCTCTTCGGCCAGAGACATGCTTCTCTGGCCGGCAGCGAAACAGGATCTCAACTTTGGCCCGGGGGGGACCTTGCCGTGAATGACAAGATCATTTCGAACCTGGGACAGAAATAAGGCCCAAGAATCTATTCAGCAATCGATCCGCCGCATCGTTCGAGAGTCCGGCAGAGAAAGAGATCGTCATGCGCAAGATAGGAATATGAGCCAGCCATGAATTTATTGTCGCTTCGAAGTAGCGATGTCTGCGCCAGTTTGCGTCGCCATGGCAAATCTCGAATACCAGATCACACACAACTCGGAATATATGAGGACGCTTCGCAACAGGGAGATCCGCGATAGGTGTTGAAGGGGGTTCCGACATGTCGCAGCTCTTCCGAGTCGTGTGCGAGCCCTGCTTCCCGGTAATAACAAAGCTCGTCGAAGTAGCAATATAGTCCAATGAAGAGAGACTGCTGGAGTGCTCCTCGCCCAAGGAATTTCGGTGCGGCAGTGCATGCGACGGCCTTAGTTGATTGGCATCGGCATCATCGCAGAATGTCGGACGGGCTTCGCAACATGACGGGGTCGGAGGGCTTGCGGCGACAGCGCAGTCATAACGATCGAGAGAATAGACGTCGAATATCATGGCCGGACGATTCCGAAAGGAGGCGCTTATGCTGAGGATACCGTGCCGTGATCGAAGAGCGATTCATCCCCCCTCCCTCGAGCCCGAGTCCAGCCTAGGCCAGGAGAGTTCAAGCTAGTGCGGAGGGACTCGTACAAAAAGGCCAGCTGTCGCATACGGATCGGTTGAGTTTGGCTTGTCGCATCAATCGTGTTGCTGCAGATGCTGGACTGCCGGGGTGGCGGAATACTCGGGAGTCCGTTGACCAGCTCCGCCTCGATGAGTCCAGAGCGACGTCGAGAGAGGCCCGGCGGAACGTGAATAGGCCGCCGCGCAATGCGAAGACGAGTCCGAAAGCATGTGCAGAATGGTCGCGACAACGTTGCGCTGCTGTCGAGGCCGTTGTTGGGGTTCGTCGTCGCCAACAGGCAGCATGTCGCCTCTCGGGCGTTGCGTCCAGGATCCCGCCCACACCGAACCACACACCACTGCCACAGCACATCCACCACAACACAAATAGGCAAGGCGAAAGCAAAAAAAAAAAACAGTTACCAAGTCACTTACTTTTTTGCGCCAGAGGAAAATTCTCAGCCAAATATCCGAAACACGCGCAAGGGAATAAACCGTAGCAGCCGTGAAGAGGGAAAAGAAGACAACAAGAGGAGTAAGTGGGAAAGGTTGAGTAAGAAGTCGCGCGAGGCCGTCGACGAGCGAAGTTTTTTTTTCTCCCTCCCTCTTTCTGTTCGGTACCACTAGGTTCGCTGCTGATGGTCTCGGACAAGCCACGATTCAATGGGCGGGTCTGCGCGCGGGGACTTGTTGGACGAAGGGGTGGAGACAGTTTTGTTGACCAGGGGGGAGGGGGTGTGTCCTGGCCTGCTGCCGACGTAAGGGATCTTCGATCTCGGAGCCTCTGGGTGGTACTGAAACACGAGGTAGGCGAAGGGCCCAGGCTCAACCTTCCAGTTGCGTGGAGAGAGACCAAGATGGCAGCGGCTGCTGGTCCCTGAGAACGTCAGGTCAAGCCGGCAAAAGACAGGGCGAGAAGGAACAACCGCGACGTCGATGCTGCGAGTGGCACAAGGCGATCAGAGGACAACGAGGCGCGGGCGGTTACAGAATGCGAAACGGACTCGGGAACAATGCGGCGGCAGAGAATCAAATTCAACCCAAGTCAAGTCACGGCGGAAAAGAGAACGTGTAAACCAGATAAATGACTACGGCGCAAGAGGCAGGGCTACGAGACTGGCTAGGAACGTCCTTCACGGCCTAAATATGCTGCGGGGAGGACTCGATGGAAATGGATCGACCGGATGGGTTGGGCTTCGTCGTCGACTATCCTCGTCGTGAACAGAAAGCAGCGCCCTCTGCCTTCATCCCATGACAAGCCAAGCCATCCATTCCGCACCAGCCGTCGCTCAGACGGACGACTTGGTTGGCAAGTCGACTTGCTGTTAGTGCCACAATATACTTTGGCGCGGTTGTCTTTGGTCTCCCTGGACGCGGGGACGTGCAGGACGGTGCCATTCCCCTCCATTGAATGGATGAGTCGGTTCCGGCGAGGTGACAAATGGGCTGCTCCCAGGCTATCAGAGCTGCTCCTCTGATACCGGAACTACCTTTCCTAGTAAACCAGCCCAGGCCACCACTCACTGCCTGAGGGGAACACACTTGCATCCGCACTCGCGCACACAGCCTTCTAGCCTGGCAGGGGGGAGTGGCGATAACCGCCAATGGGCAGGTTGTGAATGGCCAAGCTGCGTGCTTGCGTTTTCATGACGATGGCCCATCCACGATCCAGGCAGAGCCGATGCGGTAGGGTCGCAGCAGTGGCTACGGGAAGGATGGGGAGAGGGCCGGTTAGCTGTAAGAACCTCCGTGGCCATACGACAGTAGCAGCAGGCCATGTACCTACTTTACCTCAAGAGGCAGCGTGATGGAGAATCACCAAGAGGCAATTGACTCGCTTGAAGGTGTGTCTCGCTCACAAGCACCTGCCAATTGCCATTGTGTAGGTGGTACCTGCCGTCGGCGAGGGACGAGGCCTGGCAGAGCAGGTGCTACCCCAGCGCCGGCTCCCATTGATTACATACTCACACACATGCAATTGCCTAGCTTCACCTTCTCCTCGCATCCATTCCATTCCTCACTGCCTACATACCCTGCCTTGGGTCGCCAAGGCCACAGGTCAGGCCGAGTCCGTAGTGGTGGGTTGGTAGGTTCCAGGCAGGCTGCACGGCACACACCTCTCCTCCTCTCCTCCGCTCTCAAGCTAGAGCACAATGCCTCGACAGCTGAAGAGCTGCAAGCGCGTCTGAAAGCAGCAGTCCTAGCGACAATGGGGGACTCGGGAGACGCCCTTGCGTCACGTGTGGTTAAGGTAATACCAGCCCAGGCAGAGGCAATGTACAACCAATGCGTGCGTGTGCATTGGTCCGTTCCCAGTCGCCCCCGTCAGTTGATCAGGGGTTGTTGCTATTCCGGTCTCATCGAGGATAGAGGCATGACATTGGCCATGCCGAGCTGCTTCCGTCGATGCCCTGTCGCTGCTGATCGGGGTGCCCTGCCCACGGCCACTGGCCACTGAGCTGACCATTGAAGCCAGACAAGGCCAGCAGCGCGTATGTACAGTGGCCAGGCCGCTGTGCAAGGTGCGAGGCAGCAGCGCTGATCCACTGGCTGTTGGTTGGGCAGGCGCTGTCGGCTACTATAATTATGCGCTCTGCGCAGCCCTGAGGCGACCCAGCACGCAGGACCCGGCCCAATGACGACCTGACGACGACCAACAACCGATATGATCCAATGCCTAGGGCAGGGCAGGGCAAGCAGAGCCAGGGCAAGCCAGCCAGGCAAAGGATGGGGCTTCTCAGCCCAAATTCCAAATTCCGTTCCCGTCGCTCGTCGCCGGGCTGCCCGCCAAGACCCAAGTCAAGGCAAGGGGACTGGACGACTGGGTCAAGGGCTCCATCAATGCCATCATGGACGCACCATTTGTATGCATAATGCTCCTCAGAATCCTGCTGGCTGACAAGGCCAATGGCAAGCCCTAACTAACCCGATTTCCCCCCAGGCAGGTACCGCGTCCAGGCCATGTGGCTGTGCAGCAGCATGAGTCCTCCGCTTCACCTTGCTCACCTCACCAGCGCTGCCAGCACCCGCCCGTGGGCGTCGTGGCCCGTGGATATCCGTCCGTGCCATTGCCATGCCCCTGGCGCTGTCCCAGATATGTTGATGGAATTGTACATCGAAAAGTAGACGTCTACGTGTAAAACCTACAGGGCCAGGGGCACGCTATAGCGTCACACCGATCGCACCTAATTCGGGGCAATGGATAGATTCGAGAAACCCGATTTCTTCTGGGCTAGCGGCGCCAGGGATGCCAATCTGCGCACGAAGCACAAGGAATGAGACGAAATGGCCAGGCGAGACAGTTGACCAGCTTGTAATCTCTCGCATCTGCCCCAGACAAACAACAGGAGCCGATCCCGTGTCTCAAACCAACCGGCCAATTAATCTCAATGGTGTCCTCCCTTTGCAGAAATGCTGTCCCGTCCCTGAGACCTGAGACCAGCCGAATTACTGCTGACCTCATCTCACCTCGCCTGGCCCTGCTCCATGTGGGCAATCTTGTCTTGTGCCACTGTGTCCCGTGACCACCGACATGCTAAACGGCAGCGTCTTTGGAGTCATTCCCAATTGGTTATGAAACAGGCAATAATTTCTCCAAGAGCACTGACGAGCTAGGCATTTGGTCCATGGCCCCTTGATACGATGCTAGTTCACACTCCCGAGGTTGCCCCCCTTGACCCTCCCCGGTAGGCATGACGTTGTACGGGCCAGATGTTCAGATGCAAATGGTGCTGTTAAAGGTTCTCCTACCCTCCCTGCTGAACCAGGCAATTGATGATTTAGGATGTAATATCGGCCATTGCGAGAATGAAATCCATGTACCTCTACATGTACCTCAACAACAGACGAGGTGGTACTCAGCTAACATCTTTATGTATGCACATCATTCACACGACATCTGCACGCGCGCTCCACGCCCCCTGGCAAGGACGAGATGGTGCCCTACATCGTAGATACAGAGAGATACCTTGGGTAGAGATGCAGCTACATAGCGGCCGCACACTCAGATCTGCCAAGTCAGGGGTAGATTTCACCACCCCGGAGGTACTAGCTTGTCGATCCCACTTGAGAGCACCACCTGGGACAGAGTTTGACCATGCCATGGCCTACTCGACACCGTCGTTTTCGCGACAGCAAATAGGAGCCCGTCCACCCAGGGAGACACCATCTGGCAGCTCTCTAGTGCCGTCGTGGCCTGAAGAAGCTCGTGTGAGAACTTTTGCCATATGCTCCGGTCCTCGATGCTTGGCCATTCCTTCCGGGCCTCTACAATTCGTCTATTCAGGTCAGACGTGAGTCCAAAACGCGCATCTAATGCAAATGGAAATATCCAGGTGCCGTTAGTGGCGTTAATTGGCGAGATGTGCGTGGGCCAGCGGACCAATCCATGTGTTTCTTCGATAGACGAGGACCTGAAATTTGCTTGCGACAACGGTTAAAGGTTCCCCCACACAAGACACGGCTCGGTATCCTCCATTTTTTTTTCAATCGGCGAGACGATTTGTAGCACTCGGATTGGTGGTGCACATGCCTGTTACCAGGGGCGGCAGAGTAGACCAGAGACATGCGTATAACATTGTATCAGCCTGCATCGTAGCATCTCCAATCCCATCCCACCGTACCCCGACTATGTATGTACGAAAACTAGTAATACCACCTCGATGAAGCGCGTGTGCTGGGGCACCTCGCCCGTTGCAGGTGTGCGCCTATGAAGCCAATTGTGGGGAGCGAGCTTCTTGGGCCAGGAAGAAAACCTTTTCAATAAGCCCTCGTTCTCTCTGGTTCCAGAGGGCTAGGGGCCCTGTCTAATGCTACTCTCCCCTCACCTGGAAAATCAAGATGGCACCCGAGGCCAGGCTAAGCGGTTACGTATGTAGGTAGGGCAAGGTGGCAGTAGCTCTGCTCTCTCTGCCAGGTGCATATGTACATTGCAGACAATTGAGAAACCTGCCTGTCACATCTCATTTTCGCCACTGGTAGATAGGGATGCGGAATTGGCCCAGTTCCACCGAGATGAATGCGAGTACATGCAAGTAACAGCAAATTGGGCTGCATCTCGCCCCCCCAAGTGAGTAAACTGTCCCAACCAGCCGGTATCGGAAAATGTTGGAAAGGCTACGATTCTTTCTGACCAGATGCCCGTTTCCACTTGGAAGGAGGGGGGCCAGAAAAAGGGACTTGCCGAAGCTTCCGACCTTGCCCGGCATTCGTCCCGTGGGATCGAGGGTTCGGAGGTGTCCGTGATCGAGCAAAAACTCAATCAAAGTCCCCTACAAATAAACGGGCTCGTTCTTGTAGGTTGCAACGGCTGCCTGTGGGTGAAATGGCCGCTAGCCAGGGCCCTGTTGGAAGGGCTGCCTTGCGGCCAACATGTGTGGGTTGATGACCTTTCTACCTTATATAGGACCCAATGACCTAAAAGCTGCGGGTGTGGCCCTGATCGTGCAGTTGGCGATCGAAGTCATGGCTGCATTCATTCGAGACATGCGGCATGGCTGAAATAAGGCGTGGAAGTTAATGGCCAGGCCGCAAGCCTTGGAAGCCCAGCCAGTTCCGTCCGTTGTCGACGAGTGCAGGGCCGACGGCTTGCTGGGGCAGGCGGGAGGGAGTTGAGTCACGTGACGCGAACACCTCGAACTGCGTTAGTCAGTCGAAGCATCAAGTCAAGTTCCGACAGCTTCTATTGGCAACGTAAGACGTGGTTGACTGGAGGTTCTCGAGGTACTCAAGAACGCCACTCCAGCACACGTATTTATTTTTTGTACTATTGTCGTTCTTAGCCTTCGTTTTTTCTTTCGACCTTCGTAGAACTGACTAATTGGATCTATGATTCGTTCTCAAGTTTTCTCCGCTTTTGTTTGATATCTGGTACCCAAGAGGGTTCCAGCTCCCTCACGAGCCAACATGGCCGCCCCATCCACAGAGGAAAGGGAACTCAAGCTGCTAGAAAGCGTCGAGTTCAAGATCCTCGCTGTCGCCAATAAAGAGACGAAACTCCACGACCTTCTGCAACGATACCTGGCTCCCGTCATATTGAAAGCAGCAAGTGAAAACCAATCAGTGAGGCAGAGAGTAGGGCAGCACCTGTTCCACATATTTGACTCTGATAGCTGCTTATCCGTGAAACTTTGCAGGTCATTCAGATATTAGGGCGTCTCAAGACGTTCATACAACCACCAGAGTCAGTTGAGCTCATGTCACTGAATCATAAATTGGTCACATCCAAACTAACTCATCGCAGGGTTGTCCTACCAGTAAAGGCCCTGCTGGAGCAGTACAAGTCAAATGACTCTGCCATCATCAAGCAGCTCGACTTGAGCTTTATTCAACACAGTCTAGAGAGGATCGACGAGCATGACCGCAGGGAGCTTATCCCCATTGCACTGAAAGGATGTGCAGCAGATCAGGGCCAACCAAGAGCCAGCGTGTTCGCCCAGGTTATCATACGCCTCCTACTTGATGCCCGGTTCCCCCCTCGAGGGAGCAAAGATGATGATGCCCTTAGAGAAACTCTGGGCTTGTCTGACACGGCAGACGCTTGGTACTTACAAACCATCATTGCCGTCTTTCTTCGTTTGAAAGTACCCAACAGCAAACAGAATTGGGCTCAAGCAAATCCCACACTCAGTCAAGAAGAGCTGAGTCTCTTCTCCGTGGAAAATGCGGACTCGCAAAAGATCTTCCAGAGGCTATCGGAAGTCAAGGCTAAGCTAGTCGCCTTGCTCGCAACTGCAGCCCTTACGGACGATGAGAAATTTCTCCCGGCTTTATATGGTGCCTCCAGCTTCGACAATCGAGTATCTTCGGCTTCCGAGGATATCCTGAGAAGGACGTCGGTGTCATTGGAGGATGAGGGACTCGTCAAGCGGCTGTTTCAAGCCCATTCGTCACTACCGGCAGCGTACCGAACCCGCATCCTGGGCATGCTCTCCAAGTCGTCCATTTCGACCACGATGGCGGACAGGATCCTAGCTGTGGTTCATCTGGACCTGGCGCTACCAGAATCAGAGACGACCTCGGCAGAGGCTTTGCAGCCAACCAGCGTACTTGAGCGCACCAAATTACACAAGGCTTTGTTCCAGTACCTCACCTGGGTCGCTCGCATCGGACCCTCCAAAGAAAACTTCACCATTGCGCCAGAGTTGATCCGATTCATGAGGTCGTACATCGAAACAAGAGGGTGGCCAGCACCAGAAGGCGCAGACTCAGCTGACGCAGTCGAACTGCGCTCCAAAGCTTACGAGACCATTGGCATGCTATCCAGCAGCGCCACCATCCCCACTGCAGAGCGTCTTGATCTTGCACAATGGCTATTTAAATCACTCTCAGAAGATCCGACCTCCGAGGCGGTTGTGAGCATTGATAGTGCTTTATCGGGACTTACATCCACCTTCCCAGCGGATAAAAAGGACGAGGATGAAGCTCTCATGGAGATGCTCCTTGGCTACATGTTTCTCCCCGATGAACCTCCTGCTGTGCGGAGCACCAGACACGCTGTGGTGAAATGGGCAAATCAGTGTCTACCATTTGCCAACATATATGCACGATGGATGAACATTCTCGCCATTGGGGGTATTCCTGGTGAGAGAGGTGACGTGATTGAGCAAGGCCAAAAGGGTCTTGACCCTTGGACGTACCATGCCTACGACAACAATAAGTCAAACCTACAGATCCCCGAATGGCACGAGATGACTGCCGCCTATTTTGGGGGCTCCATTGCTCCTGGCAACCTTTACAATCACCCGTCTGTGAAGGAGAGCCTAGAGAATACAGCATCCGACCTCACGTTCGGCAACTTTCAGGGAACGAGACTTCTGGCGTACCCCGTTGCTCTGCGTTACATCCAGCAGCTCATCTTCTTGACGGCACTGGGCGATGATTTCCAAATCCAGCCTAATTGGAAGGAAGCCCTCGATGCGACCATCAGGACGAGCATCCAATCCCGAACCAAAATCCGCAGTTACTTGGAAGCCGACGATAAAAACACCACCCACCTAACCTTCTACCTCAGGGCGTGCCTCGGAGGGGCCCTCCTTGCCGGTTCCCCTATCGTCGAGCAGTCGTTGAGATGCTTCGTCGAGGTGGCCTCCCTGAGCCCTCCCAGCGTAACTCAATACTTGGCAACACAGAGTTCCGGACTTCTCGACCTCGTCAAGTACAACAAGAAGGAGATCCGCTCCCTCGCTGCCCGGGCTATTGGCATCCTCTGGGCCCATCCCGTTCACAAGACTAACGACCAGGTTGATCAGTTCCGGGCGAAACTGCAGGATCTGTTCGCCAATGCGGAGAAGGTGGTTGGCTCCGAGTTGAACGCGGCCGAGGGAGCCCTGCTGGCGTTTGGTCACCTCTGCTCGCGGTCTGTGTTTTACGACTACCACCTTGGCTTGGACGTGGAGTTTCCCCTACGTTTCCTCACTGGCCAAAGCGTCCAGCCATCCCTTTTCGAGGCTGCATTGGAATGCTTCTCGCAGCTATGGTCCGTCGGACTCGGGGTCCCAACAGCCGAATCACTTGATACGATCATCAAACGGATCACCGACGAGGCAAAGAAAGGAAACGAAAAGGCCATCTTCGCCCTCGGCAGGCTGGCAATCGGTTTGGGCGAGGATGAAGCCGCCACAACCGCACTAGGCAGCATCATCACTGCACTGCACGGCCTGCACGAAATCAAGCAGGTCGAGGTCCAGTTCACCGTCGGCGATGCGCTCACCGCCGCTATTGCACAGTGGGACTCCGACTTTGTCAAGTTGACGCTGGATGTCCACCTGCTCGGCAAGGCCCGCCTGCCCAATGGTTCGAGGAGGGCGCTGGTTACACGCACCTTGGAGAAGCTCTTCACCGACTGCAAGACGACGAAGCCCTCGCTCCTCAAGGCGTCGGGCATCTGGCTCTTCTGCGTGGTTCAGTACTGCTCCCACCTCGAGGAGGTTGGGTCGCGTCTGCGTGAGGCGCAGACGGCGTTCATGAGGCTTCTGAGTGCGAGGGATGAGCTGGTCCAGGAGACTGCCTCTCGCGGTTTGACTCTTGTGTACGAGAGCGGGGATGCCGCTCTCAAGGGCTCGCTGGTCAAGGACCTGGTCTCGGCGTTTACGGGGTCCGGGACGCAGTTGAAAGTGGATCAGGACACGGAGCTGTTCGACGCCGGAGCGTTGCCGACCGGAGATGGGAAGTCGGTCACCTCCTACAAGGACATTGTCAACCTGGCCAACGAGGTCGGCGATCAGGGGCTCGTGTACAAGTTCATGTCGCTGGCGGCCAACGCGGCCACTTGGTCGACGAGGTCGGCGTTTGGGCGTTTTGGACTTAGCAACATCCTCTCCGACTCTGAAATCGACCCGAAGCTGTATCCGAAGCTGTACCGCTACCGTTTCGACCCGAACCCGAACGTGCAGAGGTCCATGGAGGACATTTGGAAGGCGGTGGTGAAGGATACCGGGGCCATTATGGATACATATTTTGACGCCATTCTCGAGGATCTGTTGAAGAGCATCCTGGGCAGGGAATGGCGAATGAGGGAGGCGAGCTGTGCGGCCATTGCTGATTTGATCTCCGGGAGGCCATTCAAGCAGTACGAGGCTCGGTACAGGGATATCTGGACAGCCGCCCTCAAAGTCTTGGATGATGTCAAGGGCAGCGTTAGAGAAGCGGCCTTGCGTCTCTGCATGGCTTTGTCCAACGGCCTCGTCAGGCAGCTCGAAGAGAGCAATCAGGGTGCGGCGGCCAAGGCGATGATCAAGGAAGCTCTGCCGTTCCTGCTCTCTGATAAGGGTATCGAGAGCACGGCCAAGGACACTCGGCTGTTTTGCACAATCACGGTATTGAAGATTGCCAAGCAAGGAGGGACGGCTCTGAAGCCATTCATTCCAGAGATGGTGCCGCAACTCCTTGGACTGCTCAGCACGATCGAGCCAGAGGAGATCAACTACCACTATCAAAGAGCAGGCGACGATAGCCGAGACCAGATCGACCAGTTGCGGTCCCAGATTGTAAATCGATCACCCATCTCAGAGGCTATCGACAACTCCATGCGGTTCATTGATGCGGACGTCATGGCCGAACTCGCACCCAAGCTTGAGGCTACGATCAAGAGCGCCATCGGCCTTCCCACCAAGATTGGATGCAGCAGGGTCTTGTCTACGCTTTTCACTCGCCATACCATCGACATTAAGCCTTTCTCTGCTAAATTTCTACGGATGATGGAGAAGCAGGCCATGGACAAGAACGATGCTGTCAGTCAAGCATACGCCCGCGCGGCGGCGTATATGATGCGAGTCGTGCCGGATGCCGCCAAGGAGCGCTTCTGCAACAACATCATCCAGAAATATCTCAAGTCAGAGGAGGAAGCACATCGACAGAAGATTGCCGATGTGACGGTTGCATTGGCAAAGACTTCGCCGGACCACTTCTCCGCTTTCGAGGCGGTACTGCTCCCATTCTCGTACCTGGGAGCACACGATACAGACGAATACACCCGCAAGGTCTTTGCGGAGGTGTGGAGCCAGCACGCAGGCAGCAGCCGCACCGTCGTGCGATACGTGGCGGAGATTGTCAAGCTGGTCGAGCAGTGCCTAGACACGTCGCAGTGGGATCTCCGCCACACGGGCGCCCTCACCACGGCGGCCATGGTGGAGGACGTCGTGGGCGCGAGCGACACCACGGGCGAGATCAGCGAGAAGAACCTCGACATCATCTGGCCGGTCCTCGACACGACGCTGGCGCTCAAGACCTTTCCCGGCAAGGAGAAGCTCCTGGAGGCGTTCCCCAAGTTTGTCGAGAAGGGCGCGGCGCTGTGGAAGAAGGACAAGAAGGTGGCGGAGAAGATCAAGAAGGTTGCCGTCAGGGAGGCGAAGCGCAACAATGACGAGTACCGCGTCCACGGGTTCGTCTGCCTGTGGAAGATTGCCAAGGCACGGGATGATCTGGATCTTTTGCAGGAGATTGCCGATATTGTTACGCCCTACCTTGATGAGTTTATCGACGAGAATAAGATGGAGGTCGACGGCAAGGAGGACAATCTATCCAAGGCTGCGAAGAACGGATTCGAGGCGATTTCTCGTGGCTACAATCGACAGAGGCTACTCACAGAACCGGGCACGGTGCTGGGCAGCATTCTGAAGCTCCTTGGCAAGTATCTCGAGAGCCCCAAGATGAGCGTCGTCAAACGAGATGTATGGTACGAAGCCGTCTATGATATCATGACAGCCGTTGGTACTATAAAGCCGGGAACAGGGAAAGGCAGCGCTCCTTCGGCTGACTTAGACTATCTCAAAACACTGGACCTTGATCAACCTGAAGCAGGAACCGAGCCGCAGCGGATCAAGAGGGCCAAGGCGCTGTCTGCGACACTCAATGCCAGGCTGTCTGGGGCATTTGGCGCCGGCGGGTCGGATCTAGCTGAGATTAAGCAGACTGTTGACCAGGCAGTCAAGGAGGAGAGGTCTCTCAAGGTGCTGGAGGAATTGAGAGCTGCTCAGAAGCTTCTGGCGCAGATGTAGGGTGGGCACAGCATGATGGTAGAGGCCTCGACGGCCGGTGGGATAAAGCAATTCATGAGGCACTTGTTTTCAGATGATAGATATGAATAAAGAGAAATTACAGTTCTATTTGCTTTCATGTTCCATCACGTATTCGCCGTTATTGTTGCTACAATATATAATCATTCGTTGCGAGGATTTAGAATGTCTTGAAAATCATCTTAACTCTTACTTAGCCTTCAACGATTCATTACGAGTAAATATACGCGGCACAAAGAAGAGTGAGTTTCATAGTACCTGTATTTGCCACTAGATATTAATCCAAGTCTCTGCCTACCTACCTACCTTAGACTTTGTAGAAGCTACTAGATGATGTACAAAGTCAAGGACGAGACTCCCAGACTGCGCACCAGGGAGCGAGCTCTAGGGTAGTATGCTTGAGACGCCACCAGATTGCATCATGTGGCACCGTATTATCAATAATCCGGCAGCCCCCTTACCCAACATCGGCATTTGCAGGCAGACAGGGCAGACGTGATTGTGTGCTGGCGACGTCACCGACGGTGCCTTCTGGTAGCGTGTGTGATTTGGCTGTCTAAGGAAATAAGCAACCAGAAGCTGCACCTTCCTGGCCCGACTTTTAACTCGCCCACGTACCCTTTTTTCCAGCACACACCGCAAAATGCGCTCAAGTTTGATTTGGCACGATCTAGATCCGAGGTGATTGCAATCTGCATAAACCGGCGAAAATTTCTCCAGCCCTACTACATCTCATTGCGCCCAACCCCCGGTGGCGGGGCTGTTTCCAACCTACACCGAACGGGCCTCGCTTTTGGCGGGGTGAAGTGATTGCCAGTCAACTACTCACACCATCCTCACAAAACCACCACCTGCTACCGGACGGTCCCTGCTCCGAACGAGCTGCCCCCGCTCGACATTTGCACTTTTCCTCGAGCTCTTACGTACACGACTTTTTGCGCCTTCTCCCCAACGAAACACCTTCTTCGACGGACCGCTCAAACAGAGTCCAACCATGGACGCTGAAGAGGCCATCACAACCTTCGCCGGGATCACGGGCGCGAGCCCCGAGGTTGCCCAGGGCTTCTTGGCTTTGACGGGGAACAACGTCGAGCGGGCCATTGAGCTCTTCTTCGAGAACCCGGACCTTGTTTCCAACGTCCAGTCAGGCGTCTCCGGCAACCCCCCTCCCGTACCTACATCCACACGGCCGAATATTGGGCGACAGGACTCGACCGGCGTCATTCATATTGATAGCGACGAAGATGATGTTATGAACCTAGTTGACGATGATGATGATGACGACCGAGGTCATGGACGACAGGCCGCCATCCGAACGGCTGCCTTGGCCCAGGAAGAAGAAGACGCCGCCATGGCCAAGCGACTACAAGAGGAGCTATACGGTGGCCCTGGCTCTGGATCTGGCTCTGGGCCGGGCGAGGATGTCAGAGCACCCATTGCGAGAACTACAGAAACCCTCGTTGCCCCAGATTTGTCCTGGGCGCCGGATGATGGAATGGAGTCGGCGATATTGTCCCAGCTCAGGAATCAGAGGCAAAGACGGCGTGGTCCCCGTAAGTCTTACCCCCCCCCCCCTCCATATATACTTGATTCTTTGCTTGAGACAAAGGAAAACTTGCTGACTTGATATAAATGATAGCTCGGTCTGGTGGACCTTTCGCGCAGCGGATATGGGGCGAGTCTTCAAGTCCGGCGCTGAACACAGAGGATAGCGGTGGCGATGGCACCGGGAGTCACGCAAGGCGCCTGGCAGATCTGTTCCGGCCACCCTACGAGTTGATGGAGAGAGATGTTTCGTGGGACGAGGCCCGTGACCTGGGCAAGGAGGACAAGAAATGGATCATGGTCAACCTGCAGGATATGAGCGACTTCAACTGCCAAACGCTGAACCGTGATATTTGGAAGGACGAAGCCGTCAAGAGCCTGGTGGCGGAAAACTTTGTGTTTCTGCAGTACGACAAGGAGTACCCTGACTCACAAGAGTTCATCACCTTCTACTTCCCCAATCAGAGCCACGAGAACCGGGACAACTACCCGCACGTCTCAATTATTGATCCACGAACAGGCGAGCAGGTCAAAGTATGGAGCGGAATCCCATTCCCCAGTGCTAGGGAGTTTCATGCCGAGGTCGCCGAGTTTCTGGACAGATACAGTCTCGCCGCGAACAGCAAGAACCCAGTGGCCAAGGCGACCGCACGGAAACCACAACCTATCGACGTGGAACGCATGACGGAGGACGAGATGCTCGAGATGGCACTAAAGAATAGTCTTGCTGGAGCTGGAACAGGAGGGAGCAGTGGATCAGGGTCCACCCCCAACTTACACGATCCAGACGCTCTCACCAAGTCACCCACCGCCGGTGCAGATACTCCGGAGGGCAAGGGCAAGGAGCCAGAGCCAGTGGCTGAAGAATCGGCCTTTGCAAAAATTTCGAGTAGCAACCCGCACACGGAACCAGAGAACGACCCGAAGACGACGACGCGCATCCAGCTGCGGCACCCGAATGGCCGCGTTATCCGTCGGTTTCAGCTGCAGGAGCCTGTGCGACGGATCTACGAGTGGCTCAAGGCGGAGCCAATGGAGGGCAAGGACGGGGTGGAGTTTGAGCTGAAGAAGATGCCCCAGGGCCAAGATCTGATTGATACCCTTGATGCGACGATTGAGGAGGCTGGACTTAAGCAGGGCACAGTTATGATTGAGTTTATCGAGGATTGAGTGGAGGCTCTCTTGCCAGCAGGTAATAGAGGCTCCCCTGCACGATGCGGTACTTGCTTGGTCTGGCGTATATGGGCTAGACATGTGAACCAGCCACTTGGGCGATCTGGAGATCTGGAACGGAATAGTGGCATTTGCTTAAGACAGGTAATGGGGGAAATTAACACGAAGTGACGCCGGGTATCATTTATCACATGGGCATGATAAACGCAAGGAGTTTGGCAGAGGACCGAGGAGGTGGCTGGACAAACTCAATCAATTCAGGCATTGGAAGTTTACGTTAGCATGGGATAGTATAGCTGTTGCTTCCATATCGCAGAAAGGCGCGGGTGATTGAGATCCTGCTTTCTCATGCTGCACGCGCCTATCTATAGAGCTCGGTAGGCAAGGTAGATTGGCATCGCACGGTATATCTCGGGATGGGAGATGCCCGTTTGCCTGAATGACACATTTTCTTGTTAATTACATGTCTGGGATTGCCTGTGCTACGATCACTAGAGTTTCTGAGACTGAAGAGTGGGTAAGCTGGTAGGCGCAAGGATGGAAAAAGCAAAGAGCAAACAGTGTCAGATTTCCAAGCTGACGACAGCCAAGCTGGGATTATATTTGTTGATGTTGTTTGTTGTCTGCGCCGCTCAGCCCTGGCTGCTGGTTGCTGTACGACGAGGCGGTGTTCAGCAATCAACCCCGCTGGACCGTCTTCTGGCGTTGTATCGCGGCGTGCCAGACCCCTGGGCTGGTCTGTTACAAGGCAGCATGCTAGTAGGTACCATAATAGGTGCGCGGGCGTGTATGTAAAGCCCAGGTACCCCCAGCGCGGTGGGCATGTAGCCTGATCGCAGCGAGATCACGTCCCCGCCCCCTCCTCCAATGATGGAGGGTACGGTATCTTCATCCAAAACACGGCCGACGTCAACAGCAGCCCTCCAGCCTTAGCGCAGCTGGTGTAGCGGGTGCACGTGCTGATGCGCCAGTAGTAATGGAATTTATGTAGGTTATGTCCCTGAGTTTGAAATTACCCCATGCAGCTGCTTGCCCGGCCTGCAGCAGGTGGGAGCGGTAGTAATATTAGTTCCTGTTTGGTCGGCTGGTGGTTGTTGTTTTGTTGACTTTCCCTCCGCAGACAACCAATGGGTTACATCGTATTTTACACCATGTCTCCCCTCCTGTGGTGATTGATGGATTGATTGGCACCGGCCTGCCTGCCTCTCGTTTCACCTTCGCTCTATCGCTCCACCGCGCATTGTTTTTGTTATTTATTTTCTTCTTGCATTATTCCCCCAAAGCTATCCAGACCTGACGTGACCGATTTGCCTGCCGGGTTTGGAGGCTGATGCGAGCGAGCTAAGCTACCTGCATCATCCTGGACTCGGATTTGGTGGGGTTCACCGCCCACCCTGGCTAAGCACCTACCTCACTTCACGACCTCCAAACGACCCTCCAGGCCGCCAGACAACCGGCCAGAACAACAATTGGTGGATGCTCTGATCTCTCCCAAGATCCTCAAGTAGCACACCACCCCCCTCTGTCCTCACCCTGTCCTGCAGGACATCCGGCGACCACCAGGCCACCTCGAGACTGCAGCAAACGTGGCCCCTCCCTCGAAGAGAAACCGAACGGTACCGGCGCCGAAAAAGCACCCACAAGACCAATCATGGCGGAGCGAGACCGTGTGGAGGAGGGCAATGAGGCCTTGGACCCGGAGCTCCTGTTCTCCAAGGAGTATTGCATTGGTTGGTCGCCTTGGGGGGAGCCTGCGCCTAGTGGACGAGTTTGAGTGACTGACCCTGTTGTTTGTAGGAGGCGGTAGCTTTGGAAAGGTTTACAAAGGGTACGCTCAGGATCTTATCACTCCAAACCTCTTGGGATCAGAGTTCTACTTGATCACCTATTTCTTGTCATTCCTGTGCTAACGTACTGCTCCCAATTAGTGTGGACAAGCGAACGGGCGAGGCAGTTGCCATCAAGGTTATCGATATCGAAAGCGCCGAAGACGAAGTCGAGGACATTATACAGGAGATTGCCATTCTCTCAGAACTGCAGTCTCCCTACGTGACTAAGTACTATGGCTCTTATGCCAAAGGTGCAGAGCTCTGGATTGTCATGGAGTTTTGCTCTGGTGGAAGCTGTGCCGACTTGATGAAGCCTGGGATTATTGGCGAGGATTATATTGCTATCATCGTCCGTGAGCTGCTTCTTGGTCTGGAATATCTGCACTCCGACAAGAAACTACATCGAGATGTCAAAGGTAAGGAAGGGGGAGGTCT